GCTGATCACTTTGAGGGTTCTGATCTGGGCAAACTGAGAGCATACAAGTTCCTGAACAACAAATCAACGCTCTTAAAGCTATCACTTAATGTCCATGTGTGCTGCGAGTCTAAACCTCTGGTTAGGGATTTTTTAAACCTCCTCGACTCTTTCGGTCTCATTCGGTCCGTGGCTGGCCCAACACACGATAAAGGACACACCTTAGATTTAGTATTATCGTTTGGATTGTCTATGTCTGTGGATGAAATCTGTGCAGGAACGCGTATCTCAATCCATTTACCGGTTCTCTTTACAACCTCGATCCCTTCTGTAGGAGTCGAATCACGTGCTTCTGCGCGTTGTCTGCGTTTAATTAATTCCCTCACTGTGACTCACTGTGACTGTGACTGCCTCACAGTTTTCAGATGCTTTTAATACTTATCCAATTTGTAAATTAGAGGTGAACTGTGCTTTTAGTGCGGATGAGCTTATCTCTTTGTTTGATTCGACATGCACACTAATACTGGATTCCGTTGCTTCCTTTACGCTTAGACGCAACAAAGTTCTCTCAGAGCCGTGGCTCAATGATTGTACTCATGCTTTTAGACGCGCTTGCAGGCGTGCAGAGAGAAAATGGAAAAAAGGATAAACTTCATGTCTCCTTAGAAATTCTTCGTGCTTGCCTTTCCGATTATCAGACGGTAGTCAAAGCAGCCAAAACAGAGTATATTTCTCTGTTAATCTCCAAAAACAGCCATAAACCTCAAGTTATTTTTAATGTCCTTAATTCGATCATTAATCCTTGTGATGCTTCTCCAATTGTGCCATCAACTACTCTCTGCGATACATTTCTTACATTTTTTATCGAAAAAGTATCTGTTCTTAGGCTAGCCTATACTAGTGCTACCCCAGATCCTGCTCCCTTTCTGTGCCCTGCTGTCCTCGACCATTTTGAGCCTGTATCCCTCTCTTCTCTCTCGGATGTAGTCAAGCACCTGCGGCCGACAAACTGCACCTCAGACAGCATTCCCTCTCGCCTTCTCAGAGATGTTTTCGAATCAGTTGGAGCAAGTGTTTTATTGCTTGTAAACACCTCTCTTAGCTCAGGATGTGTCCCAGCTGCCTTCAAAACATGCCGTGGTTAAGCCACTACTTAAAAAGAAAAATCTCGATCCCTCCATTCTCACAAATTTCAGGCCCATCTCCCAGCTACCCTTTTTATCTAAAGCACTGGAGTGAGTAGTCTACGCCCAGCTGCAGTCATTTTTAAACATGCATGGTATCCATGAAAAATTTCAGTCTGGCTTTAAACCTATGCATAGCACTGAAACAGCCCTTTTAAGAGTTTTTAATGATCTGCTCTTAGCCGCCGACTCAGGCAGCCCAGCTGTCTTGGTGCTGTTAGATTTAACTGCTGCCTTTGACACTGTGGATCATAGTATCCTGTTGTCACGGCTTGCACAGTCCACATGCATTACAGGCTCTGCCCTTGCATAGTTTAGGTCTTATTTGACGGACCGTAGCTTCTCAGTGCAGTTAGGTGTTTTCTCCTCTGCCAAAGCCCCTCTTACCTGTGGGGTTCCCCAAGGCTCGATTCTGGGCCCCATCCTTTTTCTATTGTACATACTACCCCTAGGTTAAATTCTCACAAAACATAATATCCCCCTTCCATTGTTACGCTGATGATGTACAGATTTATCTGCCTCTCAATCAAAATGCCAACTCACTACAGCAGTTGAAGGACTGCTTAACAGAGATTAAATCCTGGCTGAGCCCAAACTTCCTCACCCTCAATGAGAGCAAGACCGAGGTCATCTTTTTTGGACCCCAACCAATAGTCTCCCCGGTTGATATTCTGGGCTCCCTCAATAAAAATATCCTCCCCTCTGTTATGAACCTTGGAGTGACCTTCAACAGCACCTTTACATTTGATAAGCAGGTTAGCACTGTAGTCAAAACCTGCTTTTTCAAAATATGACTACTGGCTAAGACCAAGTCATTTTTATCTTTTAAAGACCTAGAAAGGGTTATTAACGCCTTTGTTACCTCGAGACGGGATTACTGCAATGCTCTGTATGTGGGTATGGACCAGGCCTCAATTAGACGCCTCCAGCTAGTTCAGAATGCAGCTGCACGTCTTCTCACTGGCCATAAAAAGTGCGACCATATCACCCCAATTCTGGCTTCATTGCACTGGCTTCCAGTTCGGTTCAGAATAGATTTTAAACTCCTTTTATTTGTTTTTAAAGCCCTAAATGGGCTGGCTCCTGCCTATATAGCCGAACTCCTCCATCGCTATACCCCAGGCAGAGCCTTAAGGTCGGCTGATCAGCTGTTGTTGATAGTGCCTAAGACCAGACTTAAAACCCGAGGGCATCGAGCTTTTGCAGCGGCTGGCCCTAGGCTCTGGAATACTTTGCCCCTCCATGTGAGGTCGGCCCAGACCCTGGGGGTTTTTTAATCAACACTTAAAACTCACTTTTTCTCTCTGGCTTTTGTTTAATTATCTATTTATTCATTTATTTTTTTATTTATTTATTCATTTAGTTCTTTATTTTAATATTTATAACATAACATAGGATTTCATAAAGTATTTTTAAAATAGTTTATACATTATTTGAATATAGGAATAGTAGATAGGATTACTTAAAATATAGTACCTTATATTTCATATTTTTTCCCTTTAGACCCTTGCGGTTTATTCTTAAAAACCCTTACCCTTACCCACCCCCCATTTTCCCTCTGCTGGTCTATGGCCTTGTAGAGGGTAACGGGGTACAGAGTCGATTAGATAAGCGGGGGAGTGCACCTGACGAAGAGGTTTTTGTGCTCCCTATCTCTGTTTCTTATCCTATATCTAATAGAACTGCTCGGGTCTTGATAGATTGAGTGGGGAAGTTCATGAGATCTTTCTAGAGGGATATCAAGAATAACTTTTATCCAATGACCTTTTCCCTCTCTGTCTGTGTCTGTGTTGTATTCTCTTGTTCGGATTAACCCAGCCAAATCTTTTTTCTTGTTTTGTATCTATATCTACGCCGGGATCCGGAGTCGAGGCTGATCCTCTTGCTGTAGTCTTGTGTCTTGGATCCTCTATCCTGAGTTCTGGATTAAGTCGTGGACTTCGGGTCGTGGCTGAACCTGTCTCTGCGGTCCTGCCTTGGGTCTCGTCATGCTGCTTCCCTGATGGCTTCCACAGGATTGTAGCTGACATCCTCGTGGATTCATCTTCTTATTACAGACACATGCATTTCCTAACATTCGGTCTATATGCTGTAAAATGTATTATCTCTTCGATTTACACACGGCATCTATTGCACGTCTGTCCGTCCTGGGAGAGGGATTCCTCCTCTGTTGCTCTCCCTGAGGTTTCTCCCATTTTTTCCCTTTAAACTGTGGGTTTTCTCTGGAAGTTTTTCCTTGTACGATGTGAGGGTCTAAGGATAGAGGGTGTCATTTTTCTCATACTGATATTCTGAACAATCTGTGCTGTTGTATTTGCTGTAAAGTGTCTCTACTGTAGGCTATTTTTATTATATGTACAACACTTTGGCTCGACCAAAAATCGTTTATAAATGTGCTATATAAATAAAACTTGATTTGATTTGATTTGATTTCCCCCAACAGAGAATGCACTTTTGCTGCACCTGAAAAGAACGCACACATCGCCAAGCCATAAATCCCCCCCATGCACAGAATTTGGATGGTCTCTGGACAATGGATAGTTCCGGTACCATCTACAAAGCCAGCTTGGCCTGTATCGATGAACAAGACAATCTCATGTGGCTGTCAGAATAAGGCAGTTCCATGCTACATAGGGTGCCGTTGCCAAGGACTGGCAACCAAATGCAGAAGGATACACACTGCCACACTTGAGAGCAGTGACAGCAGCTGTGACTCAGAAAATGAATAGAAAGCAAAAAGCTTTCTGGGACACTACCATGAATACCACCATGTGTTCATTGAAAACATTTGTACTGTATATTCAGTGTAGGTTACTTTTCTCCCTTTTCTTCTTAAATAATTAAAACAATTCTAGTTCTGGGCCATGTGAAGGATTATTTTGTGTTCAACTTCTGATCATATCTGTTGATTTTTAGTTAATAACTAAGAAGAGAGTATGTGAAATAAATGTTTTGCCACCAGGAATTTTGTTTATTTCATGATCAAAATAGGATATTTTTCACAAAAACAAAGACATTGATTTGAACAAATAATAAAAGGGTATTGATTTGACATTAAGTTGAACTTAATGTCAACTTCCAGATAAGTTGAACTCAGTTTTCCCTGTCCTGTAACACAGAAAACCTTCAATTAAAGGGTTTTGCAAAGAAAGTGGCGGCCATTTTGAATTTCGCTGCCTTTAGCTTTCCAGTCTGTAAACTGAAAAATCTGTAAACATTGAATCAATTCAACTTAGCATCGGCAGCAAACCTTGTGTATATTAATGTAAACCCTTCAATATGTTATATAGAAATAATTTTTAAGTATATTTATCCATTTTGACCATAGCAAGTGCATTGCTTGAAATGGTTTTCGCTTTGGAGACAAAAAAGGCACAGCGCCATCTAGTGGCCTTATTGAGAACAGGATTAACCAAGGCATCACCTGAAAGCTTATTTTCTGCTCTTTCAATAGTTTGGCTCAGTTTGTCTTTACCATGAACTGTCACAGAGATATTCAATCAGAAAGAGAATGATGGCATCTGATCCAGACAGAATCTTTGACTTTTTTTCATATAGGGGTTGCATTGTTTGGACCCTCACTGTAGCTTTCCAGTAAATAGTTGACCACCCAGGTTGTGATCCTTGAAGGTCCTAGATATCATTTCTGATGGACAACCTTTTACAACATTCCAGGTCTGTAAAATGACTTTGCACCCTGGGTATAAGCAGCATGCTCTCACCTCCAACGATAGGTTGGATAACCCATTATTATTCCTAATGGTGTGTAGGAATAATAACAGCTGCAGCTGGTTAACATAATCAGCTCCTCCTTTAATGTTTTACAGTCATACTTACTCTCCCTTTCTCATCAGTGGGCTGAAGGAAGCACTCCGAGTAGTTGGTCCATGTTTTGTTCAAGCGGTGCGCAAACACCCAAGAACCGTTGACATCACATGTCCTGTAAGCGTGTCCTGAAAAACATACTTTTTAAATCATTTCGGACATTTCCAATAGAAACCAAAATCTGGATTTCTTGATGATTAGCGCCATTCATGCAGCTTGCAGTGCACTATAGGACCTGGAGGGTGAACTTATAGTGGTCATTAGGCTGGGTGTGGACACTTAGCACTTTACACCATCTTTGCTAGTAACGGAAGTTGCATAAACAGCCGTGATTGCAGTTGCTTAACGATGGACTATAGAAACCAAAGTTATACATTTGTTTCAGTATTAGCATTGAATAAGATGCTAACATTAATTTAATTGGGTTAATTGAGTAGTCTGCAATGTTTGTTATGGCAAACTAAAAAGTTGTGATCTAGCTGGCGATTTTCACGTTCTCACTCCCAACCCGTCACATGTTGACGATGGGTCAGGGCCCCTCCCTGTCACCATATTACGCACAGGGTGTGTAATAGGTACCCCTTGAGCGTTAGTTTTCAACGGGCAGGGCGTCCCATAGACCTTCATAGACCTCCCATAGCGTTGATAATAGACGCCATGAGAACGCTCCCCGCTGCATCGAAATTCAAGCGCATTCCGTTCTCAGCTGAAGCGTATGGTGCGAGACGTCATTGCAACACATTATGCTCTTTATATATAGTTTATAACAAATGTAATTTTCATACTCAGTGATAGGCAACCCGGTATCACGGCAAGACGTGAACATGTGACGATTTACCATGCTGGGTGACGTGAAGATGTCACGATTTCGTCCCTTCAAAGGTGACAGTTACACGGTATTGTTAACATGGCCCAACCAGTGGAGAAATACCCGGAAATGCCAAGCAAATGCTCTACCCCGACAGTCGGTTGTTATTGTCAATATTAATATAATAATAATTTATTTTGTAATAGTCACACTCGATTTCGCAGATTTTCTTGTTGCCCCAGCTGGTTGACACCTCTTTCAGCAGTAACAAAGGCTACATTAATGTATGAAATCGATGTTAATCCATGTGTGTGGTTGTGGAATTAACGGACGTGATGTTGTGCGATTGTGTTGCCAGGCAACAGCTTGGGTTCATGTTAATTTACAAACTCTTCAACTACAACCCTAGTTATATTTAAAAACATTTTAGAAGGCCTCACGAAATACTTCAATGTAAATTAAAATTAAAATGTGAAGGAATGTGTGTATAACAAAATACATCCGTCATAAACAATACCGGAAACAGACGTAGGCAAGATTCTCAGCTCGGTGATTGGATGTTTTAGCTGCAATGCATGTTGGGATGTGTTGTTTATGCGATGTGAAATCCCAAAACATTTTTTTAAAATAAAATAATACTTTATTCCGAGTGTGCTTGCTTTTCTCTTTGGAAGTCATCACATAACGGCATTTTAATACACGGTTCGGCTGCATTAAATATTACACATCTGCCGTAGTTCTTTATTTATAGAGCCCTGATGAGAAGACTTCTGGACAAACAGGAAGAACTGCCGCCGAAATTGAATATGTAAATAAATGGCTCAGTTCTAGCGGTGGTATATCTGCAAATAAATAAAAATAACTGCCAACCTTTGTGGTTAAAGTCGAAGATATAAGTCGGACAGGGGACCTTGGTAGCAAGCCCGGGCCAACAGATAAGCCCGTCCCAGTCTGGAGGGCACACCTCATCTGCAGGGAGAAGAGTATTAGTTAGAGGAAATCAACAAACTATACACATCGGACATATACTGTAAACCACAGAGTAAAAAACCTGAAAAGAAGGGTTTCCATTATTTAAAATCAATAAATCAAGAGTGGGGTAAATAGATGGGCTGAACAAAAAAAGAAACAGCTTACAGTGTCTCTGGTGCAAAGCTCGTTGAAATATAATTCACAAAACCCAATTGTATCTGAAATTGCATTTTGGAAACTTGAAATTAATGCCCACACTATCCGTTAATCCGTTACTATCAGAGTTGAAAATCAGTTTTTGGTCCTTAAAATCACTTGAGGACCTGGAAACATGTACAAAATGTAATCATTTACATCATTTGAATACAAATGTGTCATTAAAATGATCTATTCATGCCATTGTTATTTGGTTATTCTAAGGCTTTACTCATTGGGAACTCTGTATGAGGTACAGCACACTATTGAGATGTCAAATCTGCCTGTTTTACACACTTTGATCAACAGGGGGGTTTGTGTTCAGATGAAGCCCATGATGAAGTCTCATGTCGTGTCCACCACTCTCTGTACATGTTCACCCTTCTCTGTACATGTTCACCCTTTTCTCTCCGACTGAAGACTGGCTCATTTATAGATTATCCTCACAATTGGGAGAAACCATTCACAGGTGAAAATAATAAATACACATCATCACAATTGCCATAAAGAACATCCACAATATTATGTTCATAGCATCATTAGCTGTCCATAGCCATCTGCTAAGTTAACCCCAAAACAAACATTACAACTGACCAGAATAAAATATAAATGCACTCCCAACCAGCGTTTCTGCCAGGGGGGCGCTGTCATTCTTACACAATCATAAACACTTTCGGCGCTCTCGCTAACACCCTCTCTTTTCAGGTGGAGCCGAGGACCCGACCAGCATGCCAGACGACATTCTAATTAATACGGTTTAATCATTTAAAGGGGACCTATCATGCAAAGTGCACTTTTTTATGTCTTTTAAACATAAATATGTGTCCCCGGTAGGGATGGGTATCGTTAAGGTTTTAACGGTACTACTACTTTTATCGATACCGCTTATCGATCCGGTCTTTTAACGGTACTTTTATTGGTTCTTCTGGAAGAAAAAAAAAAGGTAAACTAACTAAAGAAATTGTGAACAAAACTAACATTGCCTTTTATTTAAATTAAATACATTATATTTGTGACCCGCTCTATCGAAATCAGTCGGAAGTCGCAACGGCTCATTTCAAAATAAACGTGGATTTGCGTAAAAAACAATTTTTTTCGGGGTTCGGGTGTTTTGTTTGATTTTAAACAAACAAAGTCTTGGCTTTCAGAATATGAAACTTTTATTTCCAAAATCACACGATAAATACATGTTTGAAGCTTGTAAAGGGACGAAGACAGGCACCTCTCATTCGCAATCTGCTCTTCCGCAGCGCCGCCCGCCCTCCCTCCGGCTGACATTATGAATGCGTATAGTAATCATAAATAACACGGCAGGGTCCGTTACAGTTTGTTTTCATCTGATTTCAATTAAACAAAGTCTTGGCTTTCAGAATATTGAACTTGTTTCGGCAAATTCAGATGATAAATACAACTTTGAAGCTTGTAACGGCATAATTACAAGCGGAGAACAACAGCCGGTGTTTCTCGTGAGGGTTTTCCCTGGGAAACAAACACAATACACACACAAAATTACACAAACACACACGTACAGTATACACACACACACACACACACACTCGCAAGCTTCCCCAGACCAGTAATCCAAACGAAAATATCTACCCTCCGTAGTATTTTGATAATTTGCTCCGCTAATAATCAATCAGATCGATGGATTCCAGAGAAGAGAAAACTTTGAAGGCCTTTTTCTCAAAATGATGACTCTGTGACAGTCATTATATAATGTGACATATTTCGCTTAATATTTGGAGTAGAACAACAATCCTGATATCCAGTGGCGTTTCTAGGTGTACAAAACTGGGGGGGCAGAAAGAGGTCGGGAGAGAGAGAGAGGGGGGGGGGGGGGGACAGAGAGAGGGAGGAGAGAGAGGGGGGACAGAGAGAGGGGGGGAGGAGAGAGAGAGGGGTAGTGTCAAATTACATACTGAAGACCACAGGAGCAACACTGAGCGCATACATTTACGTACACAGCGTGGGGATGTCATAGTAATGCACCTTCATACATGGAGTAAAGGTCACCATCACAAAGTAATTCTTAAAAATAACAACAACCGTAATGCTTTAGCATTAAAACACCATAAACTGTAAATATAAGGAAAACACAGACACTCATCATCGAGGTCACAATATCAATCGATCCAGCAGAGGCAAAACACAGAAGATCAATAAAATATATGACATAAATTAACTTACCAAAGCTGAAGGCTCACTTGTAAAGAAAAGCATGTGTCTATCACTTTGGGGATGAAGTCCTGTAGTTGCTGGATCAACTGGCTTTCAATTGAAAGCATGGCCAATGCGTTAAGTCGCGGCTGTCCCATGGTGTTGCGAGTGAAAGTCTTTATCCTTTTGAGGGTGGAAAAGTTCCTCTGACTCGGATGTCGTCATCGGAGTTGTCACTATTATTTTGACCAAAATAACAGTCTCAGCAAACGTTTCCTCCAAGTTGTTCTCGTGAATGGATTTCAACAGAGACAGGGCAGTGTTTCCAGTGTGAAGCTCACTGTGGCGGTAGAGCGTGGTCAGCTCAGACTTCAACTTCTCCTTGTTTCCCAACGCAGGCCACAGTTTCACGGCGCAGTCAAGCTCAGGTGTAGGAAATGACAGGACATGCTGTGGGAAGAATGAGCTGTCAACAAGCTTTGCAGCGATCAAATGGTCACTCTGTGAGAACCTCTGTTCCACCTGTGAGATGACTGTGTCACAAGCCTCCTTCATCACCGGCGCTGTGCTGCTGACTCGTCGGCCTGGCTCGTCTGTTCCATCATGAGCAGTGGCGGCTAATGCATCAGTTTTCTGCCTCATTTTCTGAACATTTTCCTTGAAACGGCAGAGCGCGCTGTTGATCCCAGGTGCATCGATGCTTCGTTTTTGCAGAGTGTTGTATAGAACATCCACTTCTGGCATAAGCAACGAAAAAAACTCCAGGAGCTGCATAAATGCTCGGTCCCGCAGTTTCTTTGACAGGCCGTATGCCTCACTTATGGTGACCGCATCCCATCCTGGTTGTGCGCGTATATGCTTCATACACTGAAGTAGTGCATCTCGGGTCTCCCAAACCGCGTTCACAGTTCTGCTTTTACAGTTCCATCTCACAGCCGGTGGCCGTGGGATGCGTCTCTGTGTTGCCTCTGCAAGAGCTGCAACACGTTTTGGAGCACCGGAGAAAAAAGTGGAAAAAGCAGTTAGATCTGCAAAAAACACCTTCAGGATGCTCATCCTTGCTGAACACAGTTGCTGCAGGGTCAGGTTCAGTTGGTGGGCGTAGCAGTGAACAAACTGAGCGTTTGGGTACGTCTCCTTCATCACCGTCTGTACCCCGCGCACGTTACCGCTCATGACGGCCGCCCCGTCATAGGTCTGAGCGATTAGCTTTTCTTTCAGCTTCAGGGGTTCCAGAACAGCCTTGATGCTGTTAGAGAGACCTACACCAGTTTTGTCCTTTACTTCCACAAACTCCAAAAAACGCTCTGTAACTGTGAGGTCAGGCATAATGTATCGCAGCACAATCACCATTTGCGATTTACAGGAGACATCGGTTGTCTCGTCGGCCTGAACGGCAACAAATGATGTGTTGTCCACTTGCTTGGCTATTTCCTCCCTGTACACATCATACATGCAGTCCAAGAGTTCATTCTGTATGGTGCTTGATGTTCCTTTGAAAACAAGCTGAGCTTCGTAGTGCCGTTGAAGCCTGGAATCGCCCTCACACATTGTCTCGAAAATTGACCTGAATATCCCTGGATTCAGAGAGTACGCCGACTCGTTGTGGCCCCGCAGTGCTGTCTCACATTTCCCACACAGTTTAATACAGGTGATGATCCGACCAAGCACGTACCTGTTTTCTTCCACCTTCCTATTATGAGAATCAATGCCGCGTCTGTAGGCGCTGTCAATCTGAGCTGCAACATTCACCCTTCCAAGTAATCCCAATTTTACGGCATTTTCCAAATGACTGTTGCTGCTCTCATGCTTCATTGTCCTCTCCGAAAGATGCTTTAAGTCCTTGTAACCTGTCCTCGACCAAGTACCTTGATCTTCACCAAAAAGCAGGCAAGGAAAGCAAAAGAGGGAATTCTTCTGGATGCTCGCCGTTAGCCATTTCTTTTTAGCAAACCACTCAGCGTTAAACCCACGTTTAACTTTGCCCGCAGTCTGGACCATTTGGAAATCCGGTGGATGGTGGGCACCGAGGCGCTTTACCTCCAGTTTCTCTCCGAGACTAAGTGTCTCAAATGTGTGCTCCAGTAAATGGTCAACTTCATTCATTTTCTTTCAGTTTTTTTACTTCTTTTAATCGCTGGTGATGTTAGCTATATGCTGCTCTCTCGTCTCCTCTTCAAACTACACGTGACGTTTCGCAGCACTGCACACGTGAGTACTTACAGCCAATCAATTCTGAATTATGTGAGATGACGTATGGTGGGGATGGGAGCACTATGCCCCTACGGTCATTATTTTTTTGCCACACACATTAAATAGAAAAATACTCTGAGCATGCGCAGTGTAGTTTTTACAATCACCGTTCACTTAGACTGTGAGAGGGAGGGGCAGGATCGAGTTTTGTCCCACATGGCTCTAAACAGCTCAAAACGGCACTCTAGACACTAATTAGAAGAACACAGACTAAAACAGAAATGTACAGACGAATCAGATTATTAAACATGACCTTAAAATATATTTTATATGTTTTTTTATTTATTTTTTTGTAATCATTATTTGTAATACTTTCTTCTGACACTAGGTGGGGCTGTGCCCCACCTGCCCCTAATGACCCGCCGCCACTGCTGATATCATTAGAAAGC